ATTCCACACATCATGCCACAGTCGTACTCACCGAATAGTGGGAATGATGCAAACGACACAAAGCGCTATATCATATTCCTCAACGAAATCTGATTTATAGCAACATAGGTAGCAGTTGAAAGCGTTTTCAAAATATTTTTCGCAACTAGCGCGAAAAACAGCTGCATTTCATAGCTTCGTATCACAATTCAGCTGATGCGATGTTGCAGAATTTCAAGTTTCAACAAAAGGAGCGAAGAACCCATAGCCTGAAGACCGAAGTTCTTCTGATAGCCTCGATGGTCGACTCAGCTGTTAACAGGCGCGGAGAACTGGTAGGTCTCTGAAAGTCAGAGCGACGACGAAACAACTGCAGCCGTTGCATCAACGGCACCAGCAGCGTGAAGCTGTGATTATTCTAAAGCTTCGACAAGAGCCGCCGCCGCAGCGGCGGCGGCGGCGGCGGCGGCTGCTGCTGCTGCTGCTACGGGCGGCCTTTATGAGCGGTATTATGATCGACGACTGAACCTGTGACGATGTGTGGCTTGCCAACAGTGGTCCTAGCAGCTGCTTTTCTCTCATTTATATCAATTTTGCCTCCTTTGCTGCCCCTTTCTGTCTGGCGTGGCCCTCATCATTCAACGCGTCGTCCCCCGCCATAACCCTCCGTCGTCGGAGCCGCACCAACACCTGCGGACGCTTGATCGTCTTCGATGATCACGGTAGTGATCTGATCTTTATTGTTGGCACAGAGTTGCGTTCGGCGAGCTCTCTCTCTCTCTCTCTCTCTCTATCTCTCTCTCTCGCTCGCTCTCTCTATCTTTTAAACGTCGTGGCAGTCATCGAAAAAATGGAAAATCCAATGTGAAGAGTAAAACGAACTGCAACAGCCGTCAAAAAGACGCGGGGGACCAGTCAGGGGGGAGAGGGACACAAGTTTATGTCTGCACAAGCGACCAAACGAATAACAGAGAACCCCGAATAGCGAATGGTGCGATGACGGAAAAGATATTACCACTGGTGATTCAACAGCATCGGCAGCATCTCAATGGCCGAAACTAAAAGGGTAGTTTCTAGCAGTTGAGACATAACAAACAGCCCGACGTCAGACGGCGGAGGTCGGCGGCCGCTAACAAACTGTCATCCTCTTGCATATCGGCGAGACAGTGGGCAAGACAATAATCTTATGCGTGCGAATGCAAAATGGCAATTGTGGCATTGTTATTTTTCCCTTGCCCTATCTCTGCATTGACTTGCCTCTTGTGCCCGAACAGGCAATCGAAGTCTGTCCGGCGCTCGTTCGCAGCTGAGGTAAGCCCTCAGTGATCGCTCGTTCTACCGTTGCTTTGCCCTGTCCACTGGTACTACCACCGCTTTGGATATGGTTATTGCCGTAGAGTCCAAGACACGCAGCATTCGTTGCGATCAAGGAACAGCAGCAGCGGCGGCGGCGGCGGCGGCGGAAACTGCACCAGTAGCATTGTTCGTAACGTCGGGGTTTGCTATCGGCGGAATGGCGCCGGTTGTTGAGCCAGCTTCGTGTCTAACCTCGCGTCCAGCCACGCTGTGATTTCATCCAGATGGCCGTTGGATGGTGAGGAGAAGCTCCGCCTTCATCATCTTGGCCGGCGTCTCAACCGGTGACGGCTGCGACCGATGCTGATCTTTTCATATGATAATATGATCAATTGCCACATATGTGATTCTTGACTGGGGCCGAAGAACTAATACTAAAGCAGACCGCGTGCGTCAGTAAAGTAATATGGTATGAGTTTAGATATGCATGACGTATGTGTATCTACATAGAGCCGAAGTGTTTTCTTTTGTTTTAGGCAGTCTATACACGGCTGTATATTGGGGATATACTTAGAGAACATCTACGCTTGATAATTAGGTAATATCTAAGGTGTCACGGGTCTATTAGATGATTCGCTTTATCTACCTCGCACCCCACGTACTTCGCAAAGTGTGAATAATTAGGGTAATTACCATTTTAGTTTGTTTCCAAATAACCTGAGCTTAGCCTTAGTGATTCAGAGAGACGAGATTCGGTAATCTTTCACGCATCTATAACTCGTACGTGTCTGTCACAGAGTCCTTGAAGCACGCGTGGCAATCAGCTACACGTTAAACATATAGAAGCTCATTGATTTGCTGCTTTTCCCCGTTCTCAGGCCGGACCTTGCAGCAGGTTACCACTAAAGAGGCAAACGCGCACCACACCTGTTGTTTCTTTTTAGACTGAAAGCTGTGCTTTAATTCACAGACATTGGAGAAAATGCTCGTAGGAACAAAGATTAATGATCCGAACGGGCGACTTGAAAGGCAAAGAAAGAAGTAGCGATCAATGTAGACGACCTGCCGATCACGTCGGTATCGAGGATATCGAGGCATCAACAACCAGAGCGTCTATCATATTAGCGTTCCCGATGACAACAACCCCCATTCACCCCTGGCCCAGCGACTTCAACCAATCGTCCACGTTTGTTTCGCTTCAGCAAACAAAAAAGTTGTCGTCGCAGCCTCAGGTCGTTGCCGAAACCATGGGAGGAAGGAACGCAGCAACGGTAGATAAATAGCGGTCTTTCCTTTGTCAACACGCTGGCTTGACACTAGCCGTCAACCAAAGACAATTCTCCTTCTAACTGCTATCTGACACTACTCCCAAATAGCCACCATCTATGCTTCCCCACTAACTCTCACAAGCCTTTTGCTGGTTTGCACGCTTAACGTTCTTTCTTTTATTCGCCCTTTGGTTCGGCATCGCCGTTGCTGTCGCCGTCGATCCAAATTCAGGAAGCCGCGTTGTTCACACACTAGCAACCTAGCGTCACATACACACGATATTTCTTGTTGTCTGGCGGCTCATTGATGTCGATTTTTATCCGCTACGTCTCCGCACGATCGGCGCTCCTGTTGTTGTCGTTGCAGCCTTGCTTGCCTCGATGCTTCATCCACTACGTGCTTGCTTCGGGTCTACTTGTCCGTTTGCTTGATTTGCCCAGATGCAGACGCTTCGATCACCTTGTGCCCTGACTTCGTTACACACTTCGGCCAGCAGCAGCGGCCGCTATCTTTTTTGGCTTGCAGGATCGTTGCGTATTCCGCCGTAGCTTTTGTTGTAATTGCGCGTGAAGATGATGTGTCATTGCAGGCAATTCCTGCTCTATAGCAGCTTATGGGCATTCGCTTATTCTCAAATTTTTGTTTGACTGTTCTTCGCTATCTACTTATTGTGCATGTGTGTGTTTTACGCTATTGGCTAAGTGAGGTGGACTTGCGCTGCTCTACTTTGGCCTATAGCTCTTTATAAGGAGCATGGCACCCGGCCAGAGGTGTCGGACAAAGCGCTGTCGAGGCTTCTGTCCTTTCTCGCTGATTCTCTGTGCGATGTGTAGATCTTTGCCGGACAACCAAACCTGGAGGGGCTAGACGATCTCGTCGTCACCATCGATGACTGGTCTAGGCGTCTTGGAACATACTGTACATGGAGCGCAAACAGAGTGCAATTGCTAATAAACTGCAGTCGAATGGAGTATGTGAGCGGAGATTTGGCCGTTGATGAACGTAAATGGCGTCGTCGAGATAGATAGCGGCCCGTTTCACAAAGTCAAACGTCCATTCTGGCCTATGCTCTTTGTTTACTGGCCGCAGCCGAGGACGTTGTCAGCGTGGCTATTTACCTCAGCTTCTGTTTACTGTCTAGGTAGAGACTATTCACTATAAGTGGATTTTTACTTACGACTTACACTGTTCATCTTAGGAAGGTACAACTCAATAAACGTTTGTTTTTCTTATAGAATTCTACTATGTCTCGGTGGTTTTTTTCACGCATTCGATGAATCCTGTAATACAACCATAACGAAACCAAATTGATCATCAGCGACTTAGGGCAGACAATTAATGCCATCAATCAGTCATTTGAATTCGGGAGTAAAAAAGCAAAGATAGTTGAGGAGCAAGAAATCATGATGGGGCCGCTGCCTTTGTTCCAATGAGTGACGATCTTTATTTGGTCCCTTTTGTTCGATGGCACGTGTCGCTTCAGCTTATAGATCTCCTTGCTGTCTGTCCCGCGATGGTATGGCAGCTAACGTGTTCCCCTGCTAAACCTAGGGAACACGTGGTGGTGCTTCGTACCAGATGGCAGCTGGACGTTAAATTCGGAACGTTCCAAATCTTAGTCCTGTCTAATTCAAACCCACAGCCGTAACCACAATTGTTTGGTCCAGCCGCCGGCGACACGCTGCGCTAACTTCGCAGTATTTGTGCTACAGTAATAGTACGTTCTTTCAATCCATCCCTGATCATCGAATTTACCGCTACCCTGTTCTATTCGACGTTTTAGCGTTAGTTTTAGCCGTCAGTAACGATTGTGCATTGTTGTTGTGCACGAATTTGTAGGGGCACATCGTCATATGGTCTGATTTCTACTGAACAAACTTCATTGTTTCGCTTGACTTCGACTGATCAGAGCATTTCTGTCATTGAACCTGTTTGATTTTTATCAATAGCTAACTAACGAACAATTTACTCTGCTCACTTAACCAAGATCTAGGTTATCAGAATGAGAACACCAAGTATCGATCGCGGCGTCTCGCATATTATGGATCCAAATAAACTAACTAGAGTGACCGTAACGCGCCACTCGTTTTTGCTGGGCATATTTGTTGCGCAGAATAATATATGTTAGCTATATGGTTAAAGGGTATTGTGTTATGCAAACTTAAGGGTCAAGCATCGGTACATGGCGAGCAACATTTGAAGTTGGACTGCTTGTGCTGGGGCTGGAAACGATAGTTACTAAGTTAACCTGATTTCATTTTCTGAACTGGCAGAGACGAAATGGTGACACGTGAGGAAGTATTTGGCACTGTCGTATACGGCTGTTTACAAAGAGAAAAAAATCATACAGCAAGGCAACTTACACATCTGTAAGTGTTCCGAAGTGCAACTTAAGTTTGCCTGTCATAATTCCCATCGCATCCACAGTTTATGTGGCTTATGTTCTATTCACTTACCAATTTAAAGTCACGGCAGAACTCTGTGCTCGACTTCTGAAAGCAAACGCACAAAAAATATCCATCATCAACTATGTTCTACCTGGAGCAATCATGGACGAGAAACGCGTTATAGATATTGAGTCTGCCATTGTTAACTAAACCGGCATAAATACATTGTTTACTATATGTATGAGCAAAGGAACACAATCATAACTAAAAGACTTGCGGATCGGGCATCGTTGCAACGGTCATATATCTAAGATATAACAGCATTCGCCCTACAACCCTCGTTCAACGCTTCGCCTCCAAGAGGTAATAATGGCGGCTCTTATAAGTTTTATAATGGCACTTTTTATAATAATGGCCATAACTTTGTAGTTCTATATTAGAAAACAGTATATGCGTACAGATGCTAGCAATACTGAAGCCAACCTAAAAAATCATTCGATTATTTAACATAATGCTTAGAGACTGAACTCTCGTACTCTGCCCGTAATTGGCATTTTATTTTGAATAACAAAAAAACACTTGTTGAAAATATTCAACACACACACACACACACACACACATATTATATGCAAATCCTGCTCGACAATATGGTCGATGCTGAAATGATTTCGAAGTAGCCACGTGTCTAACAGACCAAAACACATCTGCTCTTTGACATAACAGGCAATCTTGAAAGGCGTATTGTTTTTCCTAAGAGATACTTCGTGACGACAGAACGCACGTTCGGGTAAACGAATATTCTCACTACAGCTTCCAAATGACACGAGTTTCGCAGGCCGTGAGAGAAAATCCGTACGCGTCTGCAGGAGAAAATACACCACTGAAATCTATTTTTGCCTCACGTTACACACATGCAATGCTAATGACTGTGACCGGCAGTGTCTGTACTTGACTACAACACGATCTGTTCGTTGTCTGTTTCCACTCAGAGGGGATCTGAGAAGCATCATTGATCGTTCAACTATTATCGCACCTGTTGCATTTCAAAGGTACATTTCGGTGTCATCGGTACTTGAAGCAGACGGCCAGTGAGGGCCACTACGTCAAAAATTCCTTTCAAAAAACCTGCGCACGTAAATCATTTAGCCAAAGCCGGTCAGTCTAATATCTGATATGGTCAAGGTGAAAGCAAAGACCAGGTCTTGAACATCTCTGATCTTAGCTACGATATCGATTATAGAACACCATCCAGTTACTGAATGTGTGTCTACATGAGATCAGCTTGTACATACACATCTTGTAGAAAATGTCATGTATCGTGGAATAATGTTCGTGATGAGGGTACGTGTGTGTAGTCTAGTGGACGGGTTCGGGCTTAGCGTTTTGATACCATTGGGTCACATCCCAATGTGAAAACCCGATGGGAAAACGAACGAGGTCACGCTGTTCAAAAATGCTGATATGAAACCAACAGCCACACATACCCACATAACCTGCCCCGTAGCTGAGTCATAGACGAAAAAGTCCACTCGAAATTTTAACAGCAGAGATCAAAGTACTGTTATTTTGGACCATCTAGAGCCGAATTTTTGCCTACTTATATTTAAATAATTAAGGAACGCCCTCTTCACTTCACACGACGTGGTATAGGAACGTTCGGCAATATGTATGGATCGTGTCGCATGTGCTATACACGAATACATCAGAGTATTTAATTGATTTTGCCATATAGAACACCGTGTACGAGTTGGACAGTTGAACCATTTTCGTCGTCGGGAAGCAAACTTATGCTGCCTAGGCTTGCAAGGGCACCGCTACCGTACATGTCAGCTCATGCTCTCAAGTACTTCTACATTTAGTGTTGCATCTTGGCTCCGTCGATCGCTGACTGGCAGACATCCAGGCGATTTCCCTCACGATAGGTGAGTCTACCGATGATGACATAGATAAAATATGCAAGTCCGACTGAATCACTTTTGATGCGATGCCAGGACATCTGCTGCCGCCGGTCGACGCAAAGGTGGCCGTTCTCGATATCGCCTCTCATCATAAGTAGGTTTCTTGGTTTATGACGACTTACTTTGCCTAATACAGGGACTCGAAGGTTTTCTAGCTGGTTGTCTAGGCTTTTGTATGTGTGTGTGTGGGGGGTCGTTCGTTATGTATGACTTCAGCAATAGCGTCTCTACATGCGTACAGCAGTGGTGTTTATTTTGGCTGACCGAGTGGCTGGAAACGGGGTTGTTATTACGGCTGCTATAACTGCCCATCAGTTGTAGATGGCTGTTTGTGTTATGTCTGAGGCTAAGTGAGTGTGTGTGTGCAATATTGGTAGTGCTTACGCGTCTATTTGTGAAATTTCAATGCGCAAAGGCGTTCTTCCTGTCAATGATTCGAAAGCACAGTAAAGTAGCATTAGGTCACTGAAACATCTTTCGTTTGGCAACGCGACTTCCAACGCTGATTCGATAACAGCACGAGGCTCCGCCTCTGTCCAACGGTGTTGATGGTGTCGCGGAAGCCTCGGGGAAGGGCAACCTGCTTTCAACCTGTGTTCAACCCAGCGAAGGGGCAACCCAAGAGGCAGAATTCGAGCGAAGCTAAATCGGCAATAGTTGGAACAAGAGTAAAGAGGAGTTAGCGCAGTGCGGCCTCGGTTGGAGAGATGCTCGCAGACGACGTATAGGCCGACACCATAGAACTGCTCGTGATAGCCAGTTTCCAAGCCAATCAATTGACCCGATTTCTATTGCTAGAGATTCAGCAGTAACATCGGTTGTAGGACCACAATCGTAGCTCTAATATCCCTTTCAGACGACGTGTTAAATCGAAGAAATACAGTCATAAGCTAAAGTGCGTTTTCAACGAGAACCTCAAAACAGATCAGCCTGCAGGAGACCATGTATCAATTTGAAACGTTCGTTATTCTCAAAGGACCTTGGTATACGCTATATTAATATGCGACCTCATTCCGTCGCGATTCTGTAGGCCGAAATTCGAACAGAAGCGAACAGTTAACTATACGCCAAATCTCTGAGACGATAGTTCAAAGCATATACTAATTAAACCACTGAAATTTCGTAAAGAGTCTGAAATCTGTTCCGATCTCAGATCGGAAGTGGGAGAGTCGAATGTAATAGTCGAAGCGTTATTGCTGGCAACAGCAGCAGATCATTTGAATATCCTGTTTTTTTTTTGTTTCGTTTTTTTTTGTGGTCCTATGCGTTTTGGTTAGCAGTTTCGACCGAGGGCTGGAAATTAAGTAACAGTTGAATATGGAGGCGTAGCAAATAAAAGTACACCCGACCGATCACTAACTGACACAACGCACAACGGAACAGGCCATGCAAAGACAGATTCCCCTTGTCGAATGACAAATGTCACAGACGAGGGGAGAAACAGGTAGAAAGAAGCGATCGTGCAAGCTAAGGATTCTGCAAATGACACTGACCGTTCGTTGAGCCAATAAAACAGAATAAGGCTCAGCCCAGAGATACCTACACACGGTCGACGGCCAGAAGCGGCAACTCGTCACGTCTGTCAATGAGCACTACCACCATTTGTAGTAATCACTTAACATTTAAATGCTCAGCCATTCAACAGTCAGGGCTATGATAATTTTGCCACGGTGCGAATGAAAAGAGTGTAGTTAAGAAAAATTTAGTCGAGAACGAAGAGCGTTTGAAATGAATGCGTTGTGTGATTTCTATTTGGGGTAATTTTACTGGGCCCGAGCATCATGCTTAGTGTGCATGATGGTGGGTTACCCATTTGTTAACCCATGTGGTTAAGCATTGCTTTAGTGGGAACCACGTAAGCACAGCGAGATAAATTTTTTTGTCTATCAGAAACATTGTACAAGCGTCGCGGTGGGCGTTTGGTGTTGTGCAGCAGGAAGTGGACATCGTAGGCGAAGCTAATTCATAGTAATACTATAATACTTCCGCCCATAAAACGATGTGCTCTAAACTTTTGCAAACAGGAAGTCGGTATTGGCCGGCCCTCAACAATGGGCACGAAGAGGGCTCGACAGAATGCTATTATTTGAAGCAAAACCTTAAGTTGCGACTGAGCGAATTTTGTTAATTGTTACTACAAGCTAAACACTGCGTAGATGGCTTCATATATTGATCTTCAAGATTTCCGTAAAGGACTTGACAATTCTATACATTTACACTGAACCGTCGAGGGGCTTCCCTACCTGCCCTCATTCGAACCTCTCACAGGTTTACGTATACTAATAGGTCAGTGGGGCCGTAGACTACTCTCTGAGTCGACCTACCGCTACAAGATCTTCGTACACACTCTTCAAACCTGCGCGCTTTTCCATATACCGTTGGCCAAATGAAGCACCAAGCTATTATCACACCTTCTGTCAGCGCCTATCCCGATTGTATGCTATGCCTATATTACAAAGTGGCGGCCGCCGTAACTGAGGCGGCGACAACGGGCCATAAAAGAACATAACGATGAGTACGTTCCTGTTCCTGCATTCAGGCTGCTTCCCTTTATGCTGCTGCTGCGGCCTCGCGATTGTGGCGCGATGCTCAGCAATATAATAATACCTAATCATTCGTAGTCCTGCCCGTATATTTTGTTGCAGTGCGATGTTTGCCTCTCGTTGAGGCCTTACCCGTCGCTGATACTGTCGCTTGCCGTCGTCATTGTTACATCGTAACACCGCAACACAATGAAAATCACCGAAAAATCATCCGGCAGATAACTGTTTCTTTAACACCGGTGACACTCCTAGAGGAATACTCATCACACCGTATAGCAACCACCCAGAGGTGTGACACGTGTAACGCAAGATGTACATAATTTTGTCTGCAGTCATGCGTATCGTCACGCATGTAGACATACACACTACACTCTGATAGAAATGTGATAATAATAACTTTAACTTGTATATGCACCTGAAGAAGGTTGAAATATATGCGATTCGGCCGAACAGTGCCGAAGTTTGTACAACATAAACACCATCAGCATTTTCATTCCGCCCAGCAACAACAATAACAACGGCGGACAGCGCCTTTAGCGCTTAACCGCGTGGCGGGGCATTGCGGAGGACAGATGGGGCATCTGCGTATTACGTGCGTGCTGCCACTTTATAATAACTGGCTTTTGTCATGCGTGGCCGGTTGTTTGTTAGTAGGAACTGAGTCGGCTTTGCTAGTGTTACTGCTAAGGATGACCATCTTATAATGCCACCGACTACGTTGCATAAGACGTCGCGCTGCTTGCCTATCATATATCTGGGCTATTTTGTGACGGTCGATTGATATATATCTGTCCCGTCCAGGTTCCTCTCATCATCTTAGCCGCTTTGCGCTGGATGCATTCAACGTCGTCCCGCATGGAACGCTCTGTTTTACTGTGGTGTCTATGTATAATGAGATGATCCAGGATAAGGGTGGTGCGAGGCGTCAATGGACACACGGCAAGGGTGAAGGAAAGAGTCGCGTTCCGCGTAACGGAGCGTGAGTGCCCGATGAGCGGTAGAGGCGCCAGTCCGAGATGTCGCCCGTCCCAACAAGTATAATAATCATACTATAAAAATAAATAGTAGCACCTACGGAACGATATTCCCTATGATGCTCAAGTACGTTGCTTGCTTTATCTGATGCCCGGTCTACCTTCTGCCACTCACGGCAATGGCGAAAACGCGTTCACAACACCATAGTAATAGAACTCAGGTCTCTAGTCGAAAACTAGCGGACAGATGAATTGCAGGCTGAAAGACAGTTCTCGACCGAGGTAGTACGTCCATGCCTGCACTTTCATGCAGCTTTAGTCAGCAGCATAGCCTGATAAGAGATACCATTAATCTCGATTACTTTCGAGCCGGGGGCGGCGGTGGCAGCATCCCCAAAGGCCAACAAGGTAGTCATCCCAAAATGGCCGCTGAATTGCCACGGAGCGAACGCAAGCAAACATGCGAGACATTAGCAGAATAATACAACGTACGAGGAGCTATAACATGGGTAATCTACGGGACGAAGGAATACCGCGTATAGATGGATCTATAGATATCAATGTATGAATAGGCTACCTCTAGAATAGGCTGATAATATAAGATTATCTTATTAGTTCGCGCTAAGACAGTACTACGGTAAACACATCATAAACCAATAGAATTATGGCCGACTGTGGCAACGGATGCGCCCATCGTAATTAACTAAACTCTCACGTATGTGACAGTGCAGACTTAGTAAAATAAAGGGAATGGATTGAAAAGTTGGCTTTATTACGGTAATAGTTATGAAGTCAAACGGGGATAGATCGGCGATGAATCGGCATAGCCAATTGACACCTTGTTAGAAGATGTCGTTTGTTTGTTGTCCGCAAGCGATCATTACTGCGTGCGACTACCTACGACGATTAGGCAATTTTGGGTCCGTGGCATCTTCACACTGCCTTCTCTACGAAAAAGGCACTTACCAGCCTTCCAACATGTAGCAGCTTGTCGTTGTCAATTGTTACGCGCGGTTAATAAACGAGTTGGTTCGGCTCCCGTCAGGACATCCATCATTTCATTCTATTGCCATAGCGTGACATTAGCGCCAGTGGATTCGTACTACAGGCGACGTTTACTATGGCTACGAAACACGGCCTCAGACCGACGTCGAACAGGGTCGTAAAAGAGTAACGCTAAATTTAGTTACGTCATTAGAAATCGCTCATAATGGAAAAATAGGCCGGAATGTTACGAACGGGTAGGACAGAATGATGTATACGCTCGATACGCGTATATTAAAATAGAACTTGTCGTTCTCACGGCTAGTCTCCAACAGTGAAGAAATTCATTCATCATTGAGGATGCCTACGCCAATGGACAGAAGTCACAACGACCTCGGCTGCTTTCGGATAATAGGTACTGACATAATGAATTGATACGATCAAATACAGCGAAAGGACTGATTATTGTTGACTAAACAGTCAATGAATCAGTAAACACTACCCGACATATGTCGTTTATTTTACCCTATTTCCTGTCCTTGCGTATTACTTATATAATATATAAGTTATACTACTTTAAGACGATACATAATCTGGCTTTGTTCTTCTTCGGCTTCTGCCAATTGCACGCCTACTATTTCCAACCAAATATCGACGACGCTCGGTCGGTCTCTTTTTCGCCTACTGAAGCCGTCACCTACTGGCTTCTCTATGCGTTCCTAGAGGTCGTGGCCGTTCCTTCGCAGCGTGTGCTACAAGACGAGAAGTATCACAGGGACAGCAGCAGCAGCGGCAGTCAGTCGTACGGATGTGGGGAATGCAATGGATGGAAGCCACCAATCGTGCGTAGGCAGTGTTACCTACCGCTCGACATAGGGAATACCCTGTGACATAGGGAATACTCTCGTATTAACTCTCTACTCTATGGCCGCGCTACGGCAGTAGGCCAACACCGCCGTCGTAGCCATCGTCATGAGCAGAAGCTCCGACCCACGACAAAAGATGGCTGTGTTGATCACAGCTCAAGCAAAACAGTCCCCCCAGTAACGACAACGACGACCTCGATGCAGACGATGCTGGCGCCTGCATCGGGGCAGCCGTCGTCGTGGCGGAGTTGCTTCATCCGCGATGTCTTGTCTTGTCATAAAAGTGGTTCAAAGTGCCACTTACTGGGAGAAGGCGGGAATGGAAGGCTGCGGGGATATTCAATGTCGTTGTAAAAATCCAAGTGGCGCTCGATATGGGGCGAAACCGGTAGGTAGGCGAGTTGTCAGTGGAACAGGAGAAAATATAAAATATACATAAAATTCCTACTACATTAAAGAGGCGCAGGGACGCAAGATGAGAGTGAACGGGGGGGGGGGGGGGGGGGGGGGGTTGAGAAAAACTAGCGCAAGAAAGCAGATAACGGTTCAAGACTATATAACGTGTCAATGTTAGCTTGGCGGACTTAGGAATCGGCAGCCTGAGAAACATAGTGATTATGGAAAAAGTGCACGAGAAGGAAGCACAGCGGGACGAGTCTAAACATATTTTGGAATGTTTCAATAGAACGGTCGTACACATATAATTTTTCGTTAGGCAGGGGAGAAAAATGGAATGAAAAAGAGATTCTATGAACGGCTGATGTAAAGTATCGCGGGCTATGTCGTGGAACAGGTATTTTTCCAACTCTTAAATCCAGTTTGGTTCAAAACGACCTACGTTTGTTCACCTCGGCAGGTGGACGACTTAGAAACTGTTGACGAAATGTCATCGTATCGAGCCAACCAAACACCATTTGTCAATATGGTCAGCAAATTGAGCTAAATAATAATACTTCATGGTCAGACGCCGCAAGAAACGCTGCCCGTTACGTTAATGGGGTATTAAAATCCAGCGCGATTTTTTATCGTGCACGCACACATTGTTCGTATTTCTATATAGTATCAATCTCTCTAGATTGCCGGTCTTGTCCAGCACGTCAGTGACCTGTGATGACCTTTAATATTGATGATTTCTAGAAAAGTTAACGCCGATCAAAAACTAAGCGCACTACGACAACATCGTCAGAATAAGGACGGTCGCACGGGCAGCATAAAGAATCTCATAATGTTTATTATGCGCCCAGCTCTATCCCCGGAGATATATTTTATCTCCTTATTATATATAACATTTACTCGAATCGAAATTTATATTGCTAGGGATTATCATAGTTAATTTAGTCAGTGAACATCTTGGCAGTGTTGAATCAAGCTGCCGTGTCCTTATTTCTCCCTATAGGTGGTGACTCCTGCTCGGTCTTATGGTCAGAATTCTAAAAAACATACAAATAAAATGGTCAATGAATTGTTACTTGTTCAACACGAACCTGCTTGGGAGTGTCTGTGTCAGGATTGGGCGATGTTTGGCCTCCTGGAGCTTTGAATGCTCGTTGCTGTTGTTGTTGTTGTTGTTGTTGTTGCTGTTGTTGTTGTTGTTGTTGCTGTTGTTGTTGTTGTTGTTGGCTTGCGAATATCTGAAATTTGAAGTAAGTATGCAATCGTACCAAAATTCGCATTTGCCAAATATTGTTTTAGCACACTTCTAGTATATAGTAAAGTGGATGAAGCGATCAATTGAAGATATCTAATGGTCTCATTGATAAAACTGTCCACGAGGCGACCTAAGAAACCAATCAAACTCATGACCATGTTACGATGTTTGCCAATTGAATTTCTTGTCGTTTCATATGAATTCGTTCGAAGGCATAGAACTAACCTCATTTTGTTTTGTAGCTTTTCGTACGCTAACAGCATCAGTAGCTCATCGAAATCGAAGTGTATCCTCATCCTATTGCATCATATCGTGATGACTGTAACGCCAGTTCCCTATCTTTCCCACGATATCATTTTCATTCCAACACATTGTTGGAATGGAACAACATCCTGACATGTTTACCCAGTAGCGTTTACGGCTGTTACCGTGACCAAAATATTACGAGCCATCCGGCTTGGGCAGGACGCTCTGATGAACAGGGGGTGGCTTTATAGTGGTGAGACACCCCTATTACCGATGAGGCGACTGATCATCCCTCTTAAAGAGGCTGTTGTTCGAAGCCTTGTGCCATTCGGCTCTCAACTGCTAAACAGCTTATCGTTAGGTGTTCTTTTCGCGGGCGTCAAGGGCTATATTTCTTTCTACGTTGTTCAATAACATTGCTACAACAACTGCCACCACCACCACCGCCGCTGCTCGCTTCACACAGAAGTGAGATTGGTAAATGCGTCGGGTAGACTAGTCGATCGTTTACCCAGCTAGCTCGGACGGTATACGACGACATCGCCCTCTTTGTGCCGCCGATTTACATACTTCCGTGGCCCTACTCTCTCGATCTGTTCGCTAGCCTAGTGTATATAAATAGGTAATGATAGCCCTTTACGTTGACTACGTTAGCGACTCCGACCCGTGCGTGTTCTCCTGGCCGGGTGATAGTTTATTCAGTACTGGCAGACAGCAACGACCTCTGTCGAAGCGAGCAAGCGCTAGTGCTTTAAGTTGTCTAACAATCCTTCAAAAAATTGATCAGTGTTACTGCTCTTTTGCTGTTATATAGATGATAGGGTGAAACATAACTCTTATACTGCGTCTGCTCCAAACAAAATGTGTCCTGGGAGAGAAGCGGTCCTTCTTCTTTTAAAAATTTCCGGTAGATGGGTCTAATTTCGTTCCTCCTTACAAGTAAGTATAGTAGGAGACAATTGTTCCTCTGAACTCTGCCGAAACCTGTTTGGTAGTCTATAGATAAGGAGGGAGATTAGAGCGTCCAAGGGGTTACATATTAAAAATGATTAGAAGCAGCGAAATTCGAGGGCAGACACGTCACGGCGTTTACCGGAAGTTGGGTTCACAGATGAGTGGCTCATCAGAAAATTAGCGAAAAGACACAAAGCGAAGAAGATTGATAGAGAGAGATAGGTGGCTTGAAAATTTTCAAGTATGAAGGGGAATTCGAAAAACGGGTCTTACTATTGAAAGATGCTGTTAATCTTTCGGCGAAGATTTTTCCCGCTGTGTGACGCTTGATGCCATTGTTTCCTGTTTTCTATGATTATTGCAGTTCAAGAGGACTTAGCAATGCATATACGAGAGGAATCAAAGACGGCGATTATTTACTCAGTTTCTTCACATCTTTAGCAAAAATCTTTCTGTATAATGACACCGTTATATGAATCTAGATCCTATATGTGTTTCAATCTGTATATATGAGACAGACTGAAGTCGTGCAAAACTTTAGTTATATTACATTACTATTATAAGTATGTAGTACATCTTACAAAAATCTTTCGTCCCTTCTTGTCATGACTCAGTATGTGCAATGCGATAGCACTAACTGCTAAAAATAGAAGGACAAGTATACCCAACTATGGTTCAGTATGGAAGTTTTCAATCCAATGTATATATCATCGTTAGGAAGTATGTACGCAGGCCCTCTACCACCCAGATATGTTTGTATGTGATCAACAGTGAATATCTGTTGTAATGTCATTCGTAAGAGGCCGAGCCGTTCCTCGTTATAATCATAAGCGCTATTATCGCTAGCGTTGGCTCCGTCATCGTTTCATCATAATCGTGCCCTCGCCCCACTCTGTGGCTCCGTTTCATTTAGAAGGCCCAGAAATCGGCTTTAACATTACCCTTTTTTCGATAGCAGGGTTGACCTGACTATAGCTTCTCTTCCGCTGATCTTCTCCGTGTTTCAGCTGCTACTGATTCTATAAGGATCCGCTAAGAGTGCCAAGGCCCCAAGGTGTGGCAGGATTAAATGGCTTCGCTTAAGATAGATAGTCCAGCTTAACAGAATAAGATGTAGAAAGGTACGAAAGGAGGTGAAAAGAATGACGACGTTGGTGAAGCAAAAGCAGCGAAAAATTAGTTCAGATCAACGGACCCCTAACGCGTACATAGTAGGGTTAGTTACCTATCAGCACTACATTAGAGGAGCGAGGCAGAACGGGTCACACATGCTGGCGCTTATGGTGGAAAATGGCAGTATTATTATTATTATCAACAGTAGTAGCCGAAGGCGCATCTCTCTCCAAGCATTAAGAGGCGCAGAATATCACTGATGATGACTTCATGTCGATGTTGTCGTTAAAGAGGAAAGTCCCGTGATGCGTCAATGGTGACTTGTCGAACTCCGAACTTTAAGCAAGATATTGTATGAAGCGTACATTTTTTGATGCCTTAAGTAAATACAATGCTCGTCGCCTTTTCGGGGGTGGGGGAGACAAAGGAGGTGGAAGCCATCTGATAACGTGATGCCAAATGACCGCTCTAAACTTGATTTTCACAGCGTTTAATTGAAATAGTTTGAAATTGGTTTACCAGCGGGCTTGATCATTGCCATCTTATCTAGTCACCCTGTTATCGTTTTCCCCCTCTGTGGCTCTTATACGCGTGCATATAACTTGTACTAGCTACTAGCAAGAAACAATGTACGAGGTGATGAGGGCCGTATAATTCCATCTTTCTCGCGGTGGTGCCATATCCGGCCTTGGATTGAGGGCGGGCAAAGACGACTCGCAGGGCTTAAGAGTAGTAGATAACATTTATTTTAACATACATGTCTGGACAAAACAACGTAACAACATACTTTGTTACCGTCCAGTTGAATGTCTTCTGTTTCCGATGTTCTGCCACTATTGCTCGGCACATAAACAGTACACGAAAGTGTGTGCCGCCATCGTGATCTCTTGGACTATCGGATTAACGTACTCCGGCTAGAAAGTAGCTAGCAACGGCGTTTCCTCAATGCGTGGCTATTGCAAAGCATTTGAAGTGTTGTCAATACTGGCTTGGAAGTTGCCCCAGCAGCAGCAGCGGCGGCAGCAAACGGAGAAATGATCAACGGCAACCGGTTAACGGACGGAGTATTACTGCTAGTTGTGACGGTTCAGCGCGTTCGATCATTCTGCGGTGTGATACATTATGGCTTTTTGGTAGCGGCCAGCCTGTCTTCCCATCGCATCGAGCTAGCACTCAGACAACCATCGTTGTCCATAGCTTGGTAGATGTCATAGCAGGGTCGCCATGGTCCAATGACATGTTGGCTTCTACGCTGAATCTCTCATCTCCAAACAGCTACCTATTGCATTCGCATTGAGATAAATAGATACAGCGAACGAGGGAGCTACTAGTTACTTACAGCAGATCTATAGACGCTACTTAGAGGCTACGAGGTTAGTATCACAGTCTGACCCACTGAGTTTCGTCTCGGTGCATAGCCGCAGGCAGTCGAGTAGATCCGAGTCAATGTAGTCGAGAAGATCTATGTAGCGGCAGCAGTAGTAGCCGTCGAAAGGACAACGGTTATCGACTACATAGTCGCGTCTAACCGATAGCTTTCTTCTACCTATATCCTCTTTTCTGCCATCGTCTACCTCTTTTTCAAAGAGAACTATAGAATCTATGAAACTTCGAGGCGCGGCCGTGACTCTTTTCAGCCACGACACGTTAGTCCTATACGAAGCTACAAAATAGCCGCTACACATCAGCAGTAACGACGGCAACGAAATCTCATCGTCTTGTTGGTAGTTTTCTCGATGGGCCAAACTAGATGTGGCCAACAAGCCGACGAGTGTGTCCCATTACCTTTTCGCTCTTAATCTAGCTGTCTATTTACTGCTGTTGCTCGGTGGGTAACAAGACAGCAGACGTAGTCGAGAATCGGAGATGACAGCGCATAGAATCTGCCTACATTGCGAAGAGTCCCAACCACACATCCGACCGCTTTCGACCTATCTGGCCTTCTCTCTCCCTCAGTGTCTGTCCCTCCCTTGACCTCTCTCCTTCTTTTTTTCTTTTCGGTATATTTGAACGCTACAGAGGAGTTCGTTTCCAAGCAGCGAGAAAGTGTCAGCAAAACAGTAGCATTGGCGGCGCCAGCGTCTTGGCCTATTCGCACACGTACAAATGAACGGGACGGTGGCAACGCTACCAAGGCCTGGACAATTCTGCTGGAAGTGTTTTCTAGGCGAGAGGTGAACACTACTTATCCTCGTTGCGGTAGATCGGTGAACGATACGTACCGTCCTAGGTAAAAGGTAACATGTCTGAGAGTGAGATGAGGAGAGGCAGAGAGACGTAGGGAGACAGACAGGCGAAGGCAAACGACAGAAGAATAGATAGAAACATGACCGAATTGTGGCCAATGCAAGACCGCCGTCGTTAAGCTGGCTTGTTAAGGCTTTTTGGTCGACCCTTCCAGTAGAATCACCGTTGCGGTTGCTGCTACGTTGGCGCCTTATCCAGTAAGAACGAAGAGCAGTGTTCTTCTTCTTTGGGGCGGACGGGCGACCGGCCGGCCGTTCTCTAACGCCTTTTTTTTTGTTTTCACTTTACCTGATCAGCGAGCGTAATTGCATATGCTTTTGGCTTCTTTGCCGTTGGCGGATGTCACACAGTTCAGATGTCGCTTGCTTTGCTCCTCTTACCTTTTCTACTGGATAGATATCAACTCCTACTAGTAGGTAGAAT